CCTTTTACTTGTCATGGACCCCTCTGATTTTCACCCACATCAGATTTCTTTCTTCCCCTTTCATTTTCTCTCTCCTTTACCTTTCCTTTTCCCTTACCTTTGCAAACCCAAGCTCTGGGTTTTCTCAAACGACGAAGAAGCAAGTGATGATTGTTGTCGTCGACGACAAGGAGCATAGTGCCTACGCGCTAGAGTGGACTCTTGATACCTTTGCAAACCCAGGCTCTGGGTTTTCTCAAACGACGGAGAAGAAAGTGATGATCGTCGCCGTCGACAACAACCAGCACAACGCCTACGCGCAGAAGTGGACAGTCGATCACTTCTTCATATCTCTAAGTGATAGTGCCTTGTTTAAGTTCGTCATTGTTCATGCCAAACCTTCTGTTACTATTGTCGTCGGCCTTCTTCTTCTTCTCTCAAACCCAGATCTGGGTTTTTCTCAAACGGAAGCTGCGGTTCTGCTACTTCAATTTGGTCTTGCAAAATTAGGGCGCAGATTTCTGTAGCCCTGGAGGAAACTGCCACCTGTTAGTTTCTCACCATCGGCTACTAGGACTACTACAAAAAAAAAAAAAAAAAAAAGCTGACCGCGAAGGCTGAAGAGATTCCCGTCTTCCTAATTTAAAACAGGAGGATGGTAGCAGTTTCAGAGTCTGAGGAACTTAAAACCACGATTTTTAGTGTCTACGGCTCAGTAAGCTTCTTCCATTTCTGTTAATTAAGCTGATATTTTTCTTGAAAATTTGTTTATGTAATGCTTTGTTTGGTTGCCTAGAAAACTTGGGAAAAGTGACAGAAATGGAAGCTTTTTGATATTGAGTTTTTTAAGCATGAAAGGAGAAAAGGTACAGTGTATTTTCAGTCCTGCTCTTGAATTAGTATAATTTTAGAGTTCTTGGTTGTCTAAGTAACTAGATCAACAAGAGGGTTTTATATCCAGAGTTGAATTTTCTTTTCATTTTTCGCATTTCCTTTGTTCTCAATTCCGATTTTTTTTTTCTATTAACATGTTTATATTTTAGTTGTTTGATTTTGGTTAATATTTGAAGTAGATATGTGAAACTTTATGTGTGTCTTGAATCTCTTGGAATCTGGTATCTTAATCAAACTCTGATATGAATTGCTAGAAAAATTAGGTTTCATTTTTGCGCATTGGGGGGACACTTGATACCTCTGCAAACCCAAGGTTTGGGTTTTCTCAAACGACAGAGAAGCAAGTGATGATTGTCGCCGTCGATGACAACCAGCACAGCGCCTACGCACTGGAGTGGACACTCGATCACTTCTCCGTTCCTCGAGGTGATAGTGCCTTGTTTAAGCTCGTCATTGTTCACGCCAAACCTTCTGCTACTACTACTGTCGGCCTTCTTCTTCTCTCAAACCCAGATCTGGGTTTTTCTCAAACGAAAGCCCGATTCTTCGACTTCAATTTGGTCCCGCAGAATTGGGGCACAGATATCCGCAAAACAGAGCGAAGATGGAGGTTTTTCTTCTTTCTTTTTTAGGGCTAAATGGGGTCCATGACAAGTAAAGGGGAATAAAGGGTGCCACGGTGTGTGAAAAAGAGTGGGATTGGTACACATCAGCATCCAGCATGTAAAAAAATAACACGCTGGCACAGGGTAACGAAGATAATGACGGTGATGATGTCATCTGTTAAATAATGATTGATTTAGGTCAATCGATACTTTTAGGGGGCTAAATGTCCTTGCTTTTTTTGAGGGGTGGATTCGTCCTTACCCATATTTTTTAAAGGGCGATTTGAGGGTTCTGCCTTTTTTTAAAATGGGTAATTAGCGTATTTTAGCACGTGCTAGGGACCATAAATGTAATAAAGATTTTGAATTAGAAGGGCCTGCTTGGATAAGATAACGAAATACAGTTTCTCTTCTCCCCTCTGTGTTCTTCTCCCCGGTTTCCTTATCTCCATATCCTTCTCCTCTTTCTTTCTCCTTCTTTCTCCTTTAACTGTATCAAGTTCAAGTCCCTTCCCTTTGTTGGCCTTCTCAGTAATCTCCACTGTCCTCTTCAAGTCCTGCACGGTGATTTGAAGGTTTGCCAACTTTTGTGCATCGGAATCTAGCCTTTCTAGAATCTTCCTCCTGCTTCCTTCCTGGTCAGGCTCTGCGTATCTCTTTAGGACCTCTAATTTGTCTACATCCAACTCCTTCGCCAGAGATTCCGTGGAGAGATTTTCTTTCTTTTTTTATTCCCTTTGAAATTTGGGTAAATTAAGTTATTCTGCTTTTAGCATCTGAGAATCAGAATGACTAGCTTAATTATAGAGTTAATTAGTAGGAGAGAAGTTGAATTAGAATTGGAATTAGAGAAATTTTTCCCTCCAAAAGTACGAATGTTGCATATTGATTTTGTATTGAGGATGATAAGTTACAATGTTCTGAGATTTAGTGGTGTGTATAACATAACCTTCATTTTGTTATTCATTTCTTTCTATTAAAAAAAGTGCATAAATAGATATATGATAATTTAATTAAAAAATAATTGACATAAAATAATTTTAAATATAATAACTTTAAAATATAACTTAATATATTATATAATTAATTCTTTTTAATTAAAGGTGATCCATAACTCCATCAAGGCCACATGACATGGCGTGTGGTGTTATAATGAACCTTCCACTTTCCTAACGGCATATAGGACCAAAATGATATAGAATCGTAACTTTCTAGAGAAAATAGGAGAAAATGAACGTTACAGACTAAATCACTACTGTACCAATAGTTCATGGACTGAAAATACAATTTAGCGTTTCTGTCTTTTTTCTTTCACTTTCTCGCTCGTCAAACACAAACTTCGGAGTCTGGATTTTACTTTTCCTTTCAAAAAGAAAGAAAACACGAAGTTTGAGTGGGAAAATAAGCTCAAATCAACATTGTCCTTAGCAAATTTTGCTAGTCATCGAGCTGCTGCAAAAATCTTGAATCAGTGAAAACGTCGGAAGATCCAAGTAGTATAGATTCTAGTGGCTCCTTCCAAGCAATTGAAGAAGACAAAGAGAACATCGAAGAAATTAAAGAAACCCAAGAGCATAAGCGTAGTTCCTTCAGAACCCAGAACCATTGAATTGGACTGGTGGGATAGTTTCTGGCACAAGAACTCTACAACCCCAGGTTCCCATTTCTCTACTTTATTCGTTAGTATTTCATTTTTTTTCCCCATGTTGTCGAAAAAACTTCTGCAATTTCACGAGATTAAAATCTATGGGCTTTTGTAGTTTTAGGTAAATTCCCTGTTTTGAAATAGAAAACAAATTCTCTGTGCTTGCATGTGTGAAGCGAGTGTTTAAAAGGTCTGAATTGAATAGAACCAGAAAATTGAATGACATACTGGGAAAAAAGTTTGGATATTGATACTGTAGTTAAAAGAATTTTCTGGGGTTATAATCCTTATACGTGGTGATTGAAGAAATTATTGATATAAATGGTTACATTTCTGATTCATTTGTGAGGAATGAAGTGTTAGATTTTGACTACATTGATGTTGGAGTTCAAATTTGTAGGACTTTCGATTCCCTCGAATGAGGAAGAAGGTTTCAAGTATTTCTTCAGGGTTTCCAAGAAGACTTTCAGTTACATTTGTTCCCTAGTTAGAGAAGACCTAATTTCAAGGCCACCATCAGGGCTTATCAACATTGAGGGAAGGAAGCAGGTTGTCATAGCCCTTAGAAGCTTAGCATCTGGTGACTCTCAAGTCTCGGTTGGAGCTGCATTTGGGGTTGGCCAATCCACAGTTTCTCAGGTGACTTGGAGATTCATTGAAGCATTGGAAGAATGTTCCAAGCATCATCCCAAGTGGCCGGATTCCAATAGAATGGAGGAAATTAAATCCAAATTTGAAGAATTGTTTGGATTGCCTAATTGTTGTGGTGCTCTAGACACCACGCATATTGTTATGACCCTTCCAACAGTTCAAAACTCAAAAGGGTAGGGGGAACAAAAAAACAAACAAAACAAGGTCCTAAAAGGGAATGGTGAACAAGAAAAGAAAATTCCAAAAAATGGAAACCGGTGGCCCGGGGGCAAGAACGGGGCCAAAATGGCGAAAAGCCCAAAAATTTTCAAAATGGGGGAAGCCGGGGAAGGGTTGAAAGGAAAAAAAAAAAACTTGGCCGAAAGAAGGGGGAAAAAAAAAATCAATGGTGGAGGGGTGCAAAACCCCCTCCTCCGTGGCCAAAAAACCCAAAAAAAAAAAAAAAGCCTTCCAACAAAGCCTTTAAATCCAAAAAAGGAAGGTCAAAAAACCCTGCAACCAAGGCAAAATTGCAAGTAAAAGGGTAGTGGAAAAATCCTAAAAAAGGCCTGGGGAAAACCGAAAAAACTAAAATGCCCAAGAAAAATTTGGGAAGCCGGTTAACTCAAAAAAATATACTTGACTGTGGAGATCAGTTACATCCTGATGTTGCTTTATCAGGTTGTCATGAACTTGGTTATGAAGAGCAATGCTGTAAGCAAGTTGACCCAGTGGGCAAAAACATGAGAGAAAATCTAGCAAATTATTTGCAGCACAGAAAAGAGGAAGCTCCAGCAAGGTAATATGCAAGATGCAAAGTATCCAAGAAGGTTCACTCTGTGAATAAATTTTGTTCACATTTTCAGGGTCATTGATTTTGGTAAACATTAGACTATACCTCTCTGATTTTTGCCAGCAGTCTGTCCCTTCTCCATGTAACTATTTTTTTGCTTACCTGAAAATGGTAATGCTTACCTCATGATATTGGCTGATTTTATAGTTATTATGCTACTGTAGCTCCCACATTTTTGTCTTTAATTTCAGTTCTTTGAATTGAATGAACATCCAAGATCTTTGTAATCTTGAAATTAATTTTGAAGTAGTTGTTTTGGGAATTTGACAAAGGGGTATTGATTCCCAGTATCACTATTTGGAGATATGCTTGGAGTGGGATTAAATGTTTCATGAAGTCTCCTGTTTCAGATATGTGATGGAAAGAATAACGAGTATGGTACTAAAATATATGAACAGGTTTGCTACAATTTAAATTATGAAGATATATTTTTTTATGGAATTATGAAGATATTTAAATTAACAATACTAATATATTAAATTAATCAGCACAAGATATATAGAAAACACCCTACATGAACATTCTAGGATACTAAGAATCAATACTACTTGATGCCATAATTATGTCAAAGAGCAAAGAGCCAAGAACAGAATATTATATGCATGTTAAACTAAAGAAAATCTAACAACAGAAGTAAAGTTTATACACGCCACAATTATGTCAAATTTAGTATAACATTGTTTGTATAAAATATAAACCTGTTTATTTGTAAACCTCTCAATCCTGGCAAAAAGGAAAATACAGAACTCATAAAATCATCAGTTTCTGCCCGTGATTTTATCCATCATCTTCTTCACAGCATTTTTCACCTTAACAACAACCCTGCAAAAGCCATATATAACGAACAATTTAGCAAAACCATATATATATATATATATATGTGTGTGTATGTAATCCAATAGCAATTTAGGAAAATAGAATTCTTAAAAAACAAAATCAGAGCAAGGCAAGGGACCTCAGCCTTCCGAACTTAGATCCACCA